AAATGGGTGAAGCAAGGGTCTTGGGACAGAGGGCGTCGTATGCTGCACAGATTGTAAATTCCCTTGAGGCAAATTTGTGAATTGTGATCATGGGTTATATGATTAAAACTGACCTGACATTGTGTCACTGCATCCTAAGTAAAACATACAAATACCGATTTAGTTCTCCAATATTTGCCCTGTTAAATTTCTCTTTAAAGTACTCTGTGAAATGTTTGAGCACTACAGTGTTTTAAATAGCATGTCCATGTTTTGTTTTTATCTTGTGCTCTACTGTCCCACACACAAGATAGCTGGTGATGCATTATGCCTCCCTGCAGACTGCAGAAGGATTGGGATCCCAACAAAGGGCTGCAAGACAAATACAACCGGTCACACAATGATATCTGGGTTAGGAAATAAATTCTAATCTTCAGATTACTAAAGGTTATTATAATCTAACAATAGGGGAAAACACCCTTTGAAATAAAACCTCCATTTACACCAACTCACTTTATAATTTTGTCTAGCATGGATTGGGAAACAATTGGATATTAAAAAGTAAAATGGATCCAAGAAGCAACCAAAACAAACCCAAGAATCCAGTATGCAGAGTCCAAGTCCTATTCTACACAAGTGGCCTAAGTTGTTGTGAGCAGGCCCCTAGGCAGTGCACTGGGCCATCTGACAGAGCCAAACCATGTAACTACAACTTGTGGGTCCGTCGCGTGATGCTGTTGATCCTTAATATACTTCTTTCTCATATAACTTACATTTTGAAAGAGATGTGCGTCCAAACACCCCCTTAAAATGACTTGTTCTACAATCAGAATTTGATCCAATCACTCTAATAACACTTCAAAAGTCTCAAAGAGCCGCACAATTAAATAATGTTTTTTTCCATTCAAGTTAGCAGAGTGCTAGAGCGGAAGAAGCCAGCTTGGTTCCTAGTGTGTCTGCTCTGTGGGCCCAATTATGCAGAAGATCCAGGTTTTTTACACCTGGGGAGTCAAACACTGAGCAAATTTCATTGTAATGAACGGGGCCCCGCCACCAAAATGCTGTATCGAGTTCTCTTTATATATCTGTGGTTGTGAGCATTTATATGTGTGCTGGGGTGTGTCTACATTGCTCTGCATTTACACCTCCACCTCCAGTGGTTTTTGTTCCACTGTGATGAGGTTCTGTAAAGTGCAGTGAGGTTTGACTGATTCAACTAACACACATAAAACATGGCTTAATAGTGACAATATTGAACTTGCCTACAAAATGTGACTCCGATACAACTCACAATGTTCACAGACAAATCAACTGTTTTTTTACTAGATATGTAATCCAACATATACATCAAGCTAAGGTTATTAGCATAAACCTACGGCATCATATTGAATAAATTAGCCTAGCGGCTAGCAGACTTTTTCTCTACTCATATGAAGCCAGGATAAATCACACACACAACAGAAAATAATATTTTGTGGGAGCTTTATTGTCTTTACAATGTATTATTTCCTATCTTTGAAATTAAAATAAATGAAAACTTTCTTTGAAGTTTCCACTGAGGGGAATGATTTTCAGTTTTTGTAGTGCAGATGGCTTGACATCACTTCAGACTGAACAAATTTGAGCAGGTGAGGAGAAGCAAATTTTTCCAAAACTGGTTAACTAAATAACAGGAACCAGCAAAGCCCCTCCTAATATGTGTGTATAAGAAGGCTTGTAAGTGACATATGTAACATATTTGTGAACTGATACTGCTTGTTTGTCAGGTACTATAAATTGTCGTAATGTGTCAATTCTGCGTCTTTCTCGCAAGTAAACCCTTAAACGTCCAATCTTGTGTGTTTTGAGTCTCTTTATTCCACAACATTTTCAAAAATATAGGTCTGCTGAGGTCTGGGGAGGTGCACATCAGGCTACAGTGTAGGTTACTCATCTAAGCAGATCCTATGGTATATGTAGGCGTAGGTGTAGGCGTAGATTCAACGCAGAAGTGCGCTCAAGTTGTCTGTGGAAGTAGACTCTTGAGAGTCTGTCCCTTGTAATAATGCATTGAAGTGACACTGAAATTAGCAGTCTTTCTCTCTGTCTCATTAAAGGGACAGGAAAAAGCCACTCCAGCAATTTGAGCACAAATGGTCAGTGTGAACAAGCTTTTGATGCATTTATCTGATCTCTGTGGGCGAGAGAACAGTGATGTGTAGGCATATGAGTAAGAGCCTTAGGGTGCAATATGTTGTAAGTATTGCGTTGCATTACAGGGTCCACTGACAAAAAACAGCAAGATGATGAAACAAATTTACTATTTGAGTTTTGAATAGTATATTTACTTTGTTTTAATGTCATTATTTAAGAAAACTATATAGAATATATACAGTATACAATGACAGTATATACCATGCTGAGTTACAGCTGTATTTTATATTCAGAATTATTCATCCATGTGTGGAGACTTGATCCAAATTTCTAAGAAATGTATTCAAATTTCAGAATTCATTCAGCAAGCACAGATTGGCATCTTACTGTGTCGTGTCATTAGTCAGAAGCTGAATGAGTGTGTCTTTCAGAGATGCTCTCTGGGACTCGTACAGTAGTTGACTCCTTATGGACACAATCTTGCACCTTTCTCTTTTCAATCAGTGAAGCTCAGTGTCTCAGTGTTTGTATGACTTTAAAGTTTATGCCATCTCCCACATTAACTACCTCTGTATCACTTGCTCATTACATCTGCCTCTCTGTTGTTTGCAGGCCCACACCACCCCACCCTCCCCTCAGCTCGTTGTGAGTGTGTTTTTTTTTGCCATCAGCTCTCCCACTGTGTCAGCTAATTCAATGACACTGAAGCTTCTCCTCGGCTCTCTGCTGTTGTTAAATCACTGATACAAGCCGACCAGGAATTAGCCAATTACTGAATTACTGAATTACTGCTCCCCACCATGTCGTTTAGCATTTAGCTCTGCCGCAAAATGGGCTTAAATAGGACAGGGACGGGGAGGAGGGGAGCAGTGGAGAGACAGTTGGAAAGATTAAAATGCTGCTGTGTAAGCCCTGTTGCATTTATTAAAGGTTAAAATTGTATTATTGTTATGTACACTGTTCTGTGTATTATTAACAATTGCAGTGGCCATGATAATGGTATCAATTGTTAAATGAATGATACATTATTTATATTAATAATAATAATTATAATAATAACAGTAACTGTGGCAATAATAGTATATCAGTAGTAGTAGTATCTATTGTTCCTACTGTCTCTAGTAGTAGTTATAGTATTATTGGCTATGTAACAGAACATATTCTAAGTCCTGCCTCTAGTTATTGTTGCTATACCTGCCAAGGTTTCTGTTCTTGAACAGCACATAAACAATTTGCAATGATACAAGAGGCATTTTTACAACCTGTTCTAGTTAGCAGGTCATCGAATGCTGACCCTCTGTCACACCTCTCAGCGTCTGATAGCGGTGCAGAGGGCATCCTTTGGTGTATCTATGTGACGTACAGCTGCAACACGTAGTAACATGTAGTACATGTTGTGAAATGGTTGGATGGATTTCAGCAACTTGGTTAGATAAGAAAAAAAATAAAAATAAAAAAAGATCATATTTTGGGATGAAATAAGCATGGATGGATTAATGAATGGGCCTACCGGGCACAGGCCCAGGGCCCAAAATTGTCAGGGGGGCCCCCATGGCCTTCACTTGCAAAATGTCACTTAAATTAACATGTACTAACCAGGAAGAGACTCAGAATGACCACAAAAAGACAAAAAAGACCACAAAGAGATGAAAAGGAACAGCAAAGAGACACACAAAAAAAAAGGTTACTGCACTCAAATTCAAAATACTGCCACAAGTCGTGTCCGCCCCCCCTCCCCTACAGATTTGAGGTTGCTGGACAGCGGCACGCTGGAGACTGATTTGTTTGCCCACGGGTGGCTGCCGTGGCAGGGCCGCGTCGCCTTGTCCTTGATCTTCGATTTTCCAGCGGACTGTTCGAACAAGTCCGGCTTCTCTGCTGCTAACACTGCTGCCGGGATACAGCTGAGGAGGAGCCGGCTGTTAATGCTATGTACCGGGACACTGCTAATGCCACTTGCTGTGCTGCTGTAGCTCAGTCGTAACTGTAACTGATGCTGAGACTCTACGGACTGTGTGACTGGTAGACGGCTGTGGGTTGCGCAACAGGCCAAAACACAAATTCAAAACATAAACATGATTTGCGGACTGTAAAATATTTTTTTAAATGCGAATATTCTGGCTGTACTATTGTTGTTGGTGAGATCAGTATGTTATACGAACATTATTCCTTAGTCTCTGTGACATATTAGGAGGATTTTACTACTATTTGCTTTAGATTTCTTACATATAGCTCCTTTAAGTATTATTACCATAGAGACACAAAACTACAAAAATGCATGATGACTACAAAGACACACAAAAGAACAAAAAAGAGGTAAACTAAAGTGTCCCGCTGTCATATAATCCACCAATGAAAATAAGATTTTGTCAACGCAAAAATGTTGCAACTGTGCAAGATGGGGCCACAAAACTTTATAGGTGTTTAGTTGAGATTGAGATGAAAGCCAAGTTTGAAGATAGGTGTGGTCTAAACAAGGGTTCTGGAAGTAGGGGTGTAGGAAAGCGAGAAGGGGCCATTGGCTCCCCACTTCATGCCCATGACCCAAAAACCTCTGGTCAACTCTATATCAGTTCAAAGTTGGGTAGTCAGAGCAAGGGCGCCGGGTGTGTTTCTCTGTTTTCTCTGTAGTTTGACTTTAAATTTATGAAACCTGTGTCAGATTGAAATAAATCATTAGATTTTACCTGTATTCATTTCAACAATTTGCTCTGATATGATGAAAAGTGGTCAGAACCACAGATGAACATATCTGTGTCTGTATAATAGAACTTGTAGTAGATTTAGTAGTAGTTTAGTAATATTGGCAGTACCTGGCGTGTGTCTCTATCTCTACATTAGTACCAGTAGTATTCTCAGAAGTATTAGGAGTAGTAGTATTGCAGTACCTGGTGTGTATCCTCTGTCCACTGTCAGACTTGGGAAAGGCATCGGCCTCAGGCTGAACTTGTTGTGAGTGAAGCCACAGGAAGGTGAAGGCAGGATACCAGGATACTGAGAAGAGTCGAGAGCTGGCACCGGGATGGCACTAACCACCGCTGAAACAGACAGACAAAACAGCCAGTAAACCAGGCTGCAGTGTACTACAGACACCACTGAAACAGACAGATAAAATAGTCAGTAAACTAGGCAGTGACAGCACTCAGTATATGCCATACCTATCAAAAATGTTTCCCCACATAATAAAGCCTCTAATTTTAATGCAAAAAGGGTATATGTGTAATGTAGGTGTCTTTTTCTTTGCCATACAAGCCATAATCTTAACACTAATGACCAAACCGCTGTCAGAACACCTCTGCTAATCAAATCCATGCTTGACGGAGTCACATTGAAATGCTGACTGTAACAACATAATATAAGGAGCTAGAAAGTCCCAATTGGGCTAGAGGGAGGGGTGGTGGACGGGTCCAATAAACCCTGGTCTTTCACCCAGGTGCCAGGTGTTTGGTTCCCGTATGAATGTAGAGCCAGCCCAGCCCAGCTTTTGTTGCCTGAACCTAATCATGTGCTTTTGTTGACATCCCAGCATTGGTAGCAGCATACCCTGAACATCAACAGCACAGGAGCATACCTAGCGCCTAAGATGGAGACATAAAAGGCTGCTAACAAAACGGTGATATGTACAGTACAGGCCAAAAGTTTGGACACACCTTCTCATTCAATGCGTTTTCATTATTTTCATGACTATTTAGATTGTAGATTCTCACTGAAGGCATCAAAACTATGAATGAACACATGTGGAGTTATGTACTTAACAAAAAAAGGTGAAATAACTGAAAACATGTTTTATATTCTAGTTTCTTCAAAATAGCCACCCTTTGCTCTGATTACTGCTTTGCACACTCTTGGCATTCTCTCCATGAGCTTCAAGAGGTAGTCACCTGAAATGGTTTTCCAACAGTCTTGAAGGAGTTCCCAGAGGTGTTTAGCACTTGTTGGCCCCTTTGCCTTCACTCTGCGGTCCAGCTCACCCCAAACCATCTCGATTGGGTTCAGGTCCGGTGACTGTGGAGGCCAGGTCATCTGCCGCAGCACTCCATCACTCTCCTTCTTGGTCAAATAGCCCTTACACAGCCTGGAGGTGTGTTTGGGGTCATTGTCCTGTTGAAAAATAAATGATCGTCCAACTAAACGCAAACCGGATGGGATGGCATGTCGCTGCAGGATGCTGTGGTAGCCATGCTGGTTCAGTGTGCCTTCAATTTTGAATAAATCCCCAACAGTGTCACCAGCAAAACACCCCCACACCATCACACCTCCTCCTCCATGCTTCACAGTGGGAACCAGGCATGTGGAATCCATCCGTTCACCTTTTCTGCGTCTCACAAAGACACGGCGGTTGGAACCAAAGATCTCAAATTTGGACTCATCAGACCAAAGCACAGATTTCCACTGGTCTAATGTCCATTCCTTGTGTTTCTTGGCCCAAACAAATCTCTTCTGCTTGTTGCCTCTCCTTAGCAGTGGTTTCCTAGCAGCTATTTGACCATGAAGGCCTGATTGGCGCAGTCTCCTCTTAACAGTTGTTCTAGAGATGGGTCTGCTGCTAGAACTCTGTGTGGCATTCATCTGGTCTCTGATCTGAGCTGCTGTTAACTTGCGATTTCTGAGGCTGGTGACTCGGATGAACTTATCCTCAGAAGCAGAGGTGACTCTTGGTCTTCCTTTCCTGGGTCGGTCCTCATGTGTGCCAGTTTCGTTGTAGCGCTTGATGGTTTTTGCGACTCCACTTGGGGACACATTTAAAGTTTTTGCAATTTTCCGGACTGACTGACCTTCATTTCTTAAAGTAATGATGGCCACTCGTTTTTCTTTAGTTAGCTGATTGGTTCTTGCCATAATATGAATTTTAACAGTTGTCCAATAGGGCTGTCGGCTGTGTATTAACCTGACTTCTGCACAACACAACTGATGGTCCCAACCCCATTGATAAAGCAAGAAATTCCACTAATTAACCCTGATAAGGCACACCTGTGAAGTGGAAACCATTTCAGGTGACTACCTCTTGAAGCTCATGGAGAGAATGCCAAGAGTGTGCAAAGCAGTAATCAGAGCAAAGGGTGGCTATTTTGAAGAAACTAGAATATAAAACATGTTTTCAGTTATTTCACCTTTTTTTGTTAAGTACATAACTCCACATGTGTTCATTCATAGTTTTGATGCCTTCAGTGAGAATCTACAATGTAAATAGTCATGAAAATAAAGAAAACGCATTGAATGAGAAGGTGTGTCCAAACTTTTGGCCTGTACTGTATGTCATATAGCTACCATGAACTTCAGTACATGGTGAAGCTTTCAGTTCTAATGCAATGCTAGAGAGTTAAATGAATAATAATGCAACATATTTTAATTGTTATACTTTGTAAGCTAAATCTGAATCTGTAACATAACCAGTAATATGTCTCTGTCAGGTAAATGTAGTACAACATTCTCCTCTGAGCACAAGTAGAAGTACATAGTAATACATCTGAGTGCTTTGGGGGCTGTTTGTACATTATTTCAGGGCACAATGAGTTAGAAAAGCAACATAATTCAATATTTTTCATATCTAAACATCTTAATAAATCTATAGCTGTTTGGTCCCAGGACCCCAGGAAACATGGTGCTGAGTGTCGTTTGGATGAGCAGTTTTCGAGAAAGCTGCAAGCAGCAATACCACATGCTAGACAATCGACCTGTTCTGAACAGGCATGTTTTGAACAGACACTGTATTAGTCTAAATGTAAAAGTCACATAAAAAAAATCAATATTTGCATAAATCAGTCCTGCTCAGTGATTTGCAACATTACCCACAATGACAGAGAATTACTGGGAGGGATACCTTGTGTAAGCTGAGCAGAGAGAAAACATCATCTCAGAGTATAACAGTTATATCACCAAACCCTAAGAGTCCCAACCACAGGGAGTAAACCAGTGAATAGAGCAGAACTAGCAGTCAGAACTCAGCCAGCCAGAGCAGAGAGCTGCTGGAAACAGAGAGGAGGAAAAACAGCGAGGAAAGCAGTCAGACCTGACACAGTTCATATTGTGACCTTGAGAGGAAACTGCAGGGAGTCAGACTCAGCCAGACTGATTGCACTGCCTCAGGTAGACACACACACACACACACACACACACACACGGGGTGCGTCTTATCTTCTAAACAGGCTTGAAGAGACTGTGTGTGTGTGTGTGTGTGTGTGTGCATCTCCCTCATGCATCCCATGTTTGTGTCTCTTTCCCTCTCTTTGCTGTTTCAAACACACATTGTGTTTTACAGTGTAAATGTATGTTTATGAAATGCTTATGGAGGAGTAAACATTTTGCAAACAGTCTATTACCTGTTGCAGCTTTAAACACATTTCCATTCTCAAACTGAAATTAAGTCTGACGAGCATACTGCAATGAAATGATGAATATAATCAAGAGAATGAAATTTAAACTAAATTGTAAGGAAACATTACTGAGTAACAGCAGGAGAGTGGAAGATAATATTGNACATGTGTTCATTCATAGTTTTGATGCCTTCAGTGAGAATCTACAATGTAAATAGTCATGAAAATAAAGAAAACGCATTGAATGAGAAGGTGTGTCCAAACTTTTGGCCTGTACTGTATATATATATATATACATGTATATATGCTTATTTACTTTCTTGCCAAGATGCCAAGAGTTAGATGAGAAGATGATTATCACCCATGTCTGTAAATTATTATGAAGCTACAGCAAGCAGTTGGTTATAGCTTAGCCCAGCATAAAACAAACAACAGTGACAGGCGAGCAGAACCAGTTAAACTTGGCTTTGTCGACGAGAACCAGTGAGCTTTAGACTGTCAAACTGTCTAATGATAAGTCTATTAAGTATAATAGGCTGCTGGAAAAACAGTGATTGGATCACTACAAAACACCCAAGTTTGTAGCCTAAAAACCTGCCAGAAAAAAACCCATCTATGTTTGGTGCCTAAAAGGGTTGTCAAAAAGTGCAGTTTGGTGCCGAAAAAGTCGTTGGAAAAACAGTGATGGGTTGCTTAAAAATGCCGTTTGGTGCCAATAAAGCAGCTGGATAAACAGCGACAAGTCACTACAAAACAACCAGGTTTGGTGGCTAAAAAGCTGCTGGAAAAACATTGATGGGAGGCCAAAAAACGGCCTTTGGTGCCACTCTACTGTCACTTTAAGTCTAATTACTAACTGAAAGTTCTATCTTATTTGTTTAATCCATACAAAACCCAATTATAAAAATGACAGTTAATGGTTTTAGGTGTAGTTTCTTGGCTGGGCTAGTAACTTACCTGAGTCTTGTCAGCACAGTGATGTTGCCATGGCTTGTGAAATTTGTACTGATTGAAGTTTAAGTATGTGTTTTTCACACTTGGGTAAAAGGACATGACTGAGTCCACTTGATGCAGCTATGGGACATTTGGGGCTCCGTCCAATTCCCAAATTGTTTCTTTTTTTTCCCAGTCCTGCTTCAATCCACCAACATCAGAGGACTATTATCTTTATTACAATTATTGTTTTGAAAGTTGTCTTTTCCTACTTTAATCACTGTAAAGATAGAGCTCAAAAGGTTAAATAATTAAAACTGAATGCCTCTGTAATTGTGAGAAAAAGATAAGCAAGTCTCAAACAGAGCACATTCTGGTATATTTAGTACTAAAGTTGATTCCATCATTTTATCACCACTTCTCCGGCCTTAAGATTTTCCCATACACTACATATGTCTTGTCCTTGACATTGGTTTGTGGAATTAATATTTCTACTGTGCAGTATTGTTTCACAACAGGTCAAAATCATTCCATTTTTAACTTATTTGCCTTCATTTCTTTCACAGTGAATGGCCATGCTCACTAATGGGTTTATACATTTTAAATCCCCCATGACAACAATAAGCATGACCTGTTCAGCTTTATTCTGCATTCAAAGCCATATTTGAACTTTGGTCCAGAACAGTGCCACCACAGGGCACTACCAAAATATGTGGGATAATGATTTAATTTCCCTGTTACATGATCTACATAAAAGAGTGATTAAGACAATGTGTTTGTAGCAACCGTTA